AATTTACATTTTAGGTAGTGTGAAACTACACTTTAGGTAGATTCAGAATCTACCTAAACTGAAGATTTCTAGAGAAAAAAAAACCCACTTTCAAGAGGTAATTTACAGATTCTTTCTACACACATTTTATTTATGCCTCACATAAACTCTTAGGAAATAGGTATCATTATCATAATTTTCAAATAAAATGCCATCATAAACTTGGTTTTAAGCTCAGATTTATAAGTGCAGTATCCATCACCAACAGCCCAGTGGACTGGCGGTTGTCTGTATAAAGCCCAACCAGGTGCAAGGACTAATTAATCTCCATCTGAGCGGGGCGTGCTGTCCTTCAGGAAGAATCTTTGGGATCTCATGCCAATTGTTAAAGGAAATTAAGGACAAATTTCAAGCTCCTTGCTCCTGAACGGGTTTTAAAATGACTTATAATTTCCCCTGTATCTTTACCATCAAATCCTTCCATTCATTTCAACTGGTAAACGAACAAAATCTTGGATTCCTTTTAACATTTCCAAGCAAGACTCCTTGTTTCCTTTCCTTTGCCATTCCACCCCTACAATCCCTGTTTTCCATATTACAGATCAGGCCACTTGTCTGCTGAAAGCTCTTCAATGGCATCACATTCTGAGAGTCAGATTCAGGCTCCTTCCCATGCCCTGGGACCCCACAGACTGCGCTCCACCTGGCTCTGACCTAATCATGTACCATGCCCCCTTGCTCACTTTGATGCAGCTATATTGGTCTTCTTCCTTTGCTTGAACACCCTGGACGCCTTCTCATTTTAGGGAAACTTGTGTTTGCTTTGCCCTCTTGGAATCCCCTGCCCCAAATGTGCTTACTGATGGCACCTTCGTACTGTTCAAGACTCAGCTTACAAGGCACCTCTCTGGGGAGAGCTTTCCTGACTAGCTAGCCTAAGGTAGCCTTCATAGTTAATCTTTAATATCCTGCTTCATTTTGCCACTATCTGAAATGTACTCGTCCATTCATTAATTTAACAAAATACCTGTCTTATTCTGCCTCCAAATTCTGTCCCCATACATAAGCTGCCTGGGAACAGGGACTTTGGCTATCTTGATTATTACTATATCCTCAGCACATGGCACACGGCATTCAATAGTTAGTTTTGGAACAAATTATATGAAAGGGAACTTAATAGATATTAGAACATGACATATTATTTTTACTACAACAGATCACTTTGGAAAACCTAGGTATGTGGGAACCATTCCTATCTAAATTTGGTCTGTTGGTTGAGAGCATGGCATTAGATGGTCTGGCTGTACTACTTCCTAACTTGATTGTAAATGTGGGCAAATAAGTGAATCTCTCTGTACCCATTTTGCCACCTGTAAAATGAGAAGAATAATGACTACACAGGGTTGTGATGGGGATTAAAGAGATAATGAAAGTAGAGGACTGAGAATAGTGTGTGGTCCATGTTAGGTGTTCAATAAACAAAAAGAAAAAAAAAAGAAATATTCATGTACTTTTTCTCAGACCAAATGCATTCTGGACCTGTGTCCCTCTGCTGAGAAGCTATTGTAAAAGAGACAATAACTGCCAGTTGGACAAAATAACTTTTAAAACATAAAAAATGTTTCAAGAACTTTAGAAGATGGATTTCATTAATTTCATTATTTGCTAGAAGACACTAGTAGTTAAACTAATATGTTTTCTATTCTGTTTACATATAATTGATTATATAAGCTTTCTTTTATATTTGCCAATTAGTTACCAAATTAATGAATAGAAAAGTTTACAGATTCTTCTTGAAATCTCTTGCCAGTAACTTTGAAAGATGACCACTTTTGCTGACAATAATATAAAAATGATGACTTCTATAGAGCCCTCTGTACTTTCTAAGAACTTGAATATATATGACCTCATTTTACTTTATTACAACCTATGAGATACATAGAATCTGCCATCAGGTTTCCATTTTGCAAATTAAAAAAAAAAAAAACACAGAGAGAGAGAGAGAGAGAGAGAGAGAGAGTCAGTGATTTCTCAAAGTCATACAGCTGATTAATTACCAGGCCATTTAATGGAGTTGCTGGCTCTTTCTTCAGTCCTTCAGACAATATCTCCTAGATTTTGTGGACAAGTAAAATTTCAAAAAACATTTCAGAGGACCCAAATAGGGTTGTCAATTTTGTTATTTTTCCAGGTAGAGAAAAAAAAATATATATATAACTTTTACCTACTATTTATATCATAAAACTACATTGTCTTTTACCACCCCCAAAGAGGAAAAACACCATCTTAGAAAAAGTGTAGTCCTTCAAATTAATAAAATTTGCCTTATGAGAAAGTTACTACTTTGTAATTTTTTCTTATTTTGCTGTTGCCTGGTGGAAACTCCTGTTGTGGTCTAAGAACCATTAGACCAATACCTGTAAACCATTTCCCTCTTCTGTACTATTTCAAGTCTTATTAGCTTTTCTACTTCTTATCCTCCTTGCATTTCATAGTCTTTAAGAAAAAGGAACCAGTAAGG